CATCAGGGTCCATCAACAGAGACAGAATCCTCAAACCAGGTAGGTAGCATAGTGGTGCCACGTCAGCTTGAGGAAGGGCTAGGCCAAGCTGCCAGAAGGCGGTAGCCGGACAGGAGGGGCAGCCTGTCTAGGGTGGTGCACAAGCGGCCCATCAGCAGTGGGGCTTTTGTTAGACAGGGGACACAGAGTGGAATGTTGGCCGAGGAGATAAGCCGCCACTTTGTCTGGTCAATCTCCACGGTCCATGCGCCCCAACACCTCTTTGGTCGAGCGGACAGCCCATTCCGCTCGGCCATTGCAAGCAGGATGGTAGGGGGCTGTTGGGGCATGGTGGATCCCTTGCCCAGTCAGAAAATCCTGGAAGGCAGTGGTGGTGAATTGAGGCCCATTGTCAGCCATGATTGTGTCCGGCAACTCATGAGCCGCGAACAGGCGCCTCAATGGACTCCGCAGTGGTAGATGCCATGAGCAGGAGTTCCACCCAATGGGAGTAAGCGTCCATGATCACCAGGAAATTCTGACCATGGAAGGGTCCAGTGAAGTCCAAATGGACCCATGACCCAGGCCTCTAGGAAGCTCCCAGTCCCTAACAGGAACTGCTGGAGGTGCGGGACGGGACTGTTGGCAGGGAGTGCAGTGGCCGACCCAAGTAGCTATCTCATCATCCATTTTGGGCCACCAGACATAGCTGCGAGCCAAAGCTTTCATGCAAGCTATGCCTGGGTGGCCCTGATGGAGGTGGTCCAGCACCTGGTGGCACAAGGAGGGAGGAATAATTACCCTGTCTCCCCAAAGCAAGCATCTGTTGTGGAGGGAGAGCTCCAGCTGGTGGGTCTTGAAAGGGCGGAAGTGGTCGGCAACCCTGCCCAAAGGCCACCCCCTCTGTACCCAAGTGAACATTTGGGACAGTACGTCGTTAGCAAGGGAGTGGGCTGCCACATCTGACGAAGACAGGGGTAGATCCAAAGTAGCAATGGACAGGATAGAGGAAGATGGGATGGGTGCAGGGTCAGTGACAGGGAGTGGGCAATGGCTGAGGGCAGCAGCGTGCCCCATATGCTTGCCCGGACGGTACTGCAGCATATAAGAGTACATCCAGTGAGACATGCGGGGAGAGTGGATGGGTGGGGTAGGACAGTCACCAGCCAGAAGCCCAAGGAGAGGCTGAACAAGGTGAAATGCCATCCGTAAAGATAGTCATGGAACTTTTTAATCCCAGACACAGCAGCCAGAGCCTTCTTGTTGATCTGGCTGTAGTTCTTCTCAGCAGAGGAGAGTGTCCGGGAATAAAAAAGCTATGGGAGCTTTGGAGCCATTTGGGAGGGCATGGCTCAGAATGGCCCCCACACCAAAAGGGGAGGCATCACATGCTAACATCAGTGGTAGCTCGTCACTATATTGAACTAAGACAGCTGTTGACGTAAGCTTGGCTTTGACAACCGTGAATGCATGCGCTTCATGGCTGCCCCAGGGCCAGGCCACTGATCAGTTGAGCAACCGATGAAGCGGCTCGGCTAGTGATGCCTTGTGAGGTAAAAATGGTGCGTAGAAGTTCAAGAGGCTGAACACCTGCAGCTCCGCCTTTTGGTAGGAGTGGGGGCGTTCCTGACGGCTTCCAGTTTGGAGGGAGTGGGGTGAATGCCCTGGGCATCCACAAGGAAGCCCAGGAATTCCACCTGTGGCACAGCAAAGGAGCATTTGCTTTGCTTTAATTTTAAGCCCGTACCCCTAAAATGGTTGAGGTCCTTCCGAAGAACTTCAATGAGCCCTGAGCGACTGCAGGCAGCAATCAGACATCATCGAAGTAGGGAACCATGCCAGAGAGCCCATGGAGCAAACGCTCCATGAGGCTCTGGAAGATCCTTGGGGCAACGGAGATGCCAAATTGTAAATGGTGGCAGCGGAAAGCGCCCCAGTGGGTGATGATTGTCTGGGCAGTGGTGGCCTTATCATCCACTGGGAGCTGCTGATAGGCTTGGCCTATATCAAGCTTGACAAATATGCAGCCCTGCCACAAAGAGTGGAGCAGGTGCTGCACAACTGGAACTGGATATGCATTTGCCTGGAGGGCAAGATTAATGGTCAACTTAAAATAGGTGCAGATCCTGATAGAGCCGTCGACCTTAACAGGGACCACTATGGGGGTCTCCTATTTGGAGTGGTCAATTGGTTCCAGGACCCCTTGTGCCAACAATTTGTCGAGCTACGCATCAACCTTGGTCCTCAAGGCAAATGGTACTCTGTGAGCCTTAAGTCGTATAGGGAGTCTAAGTTCAGGGAGATTGGGAAACTCCTATATTCACCTAATGTCCCGACGAAGATGTCAGTGAACTTGGAGATGACATCTTCAACAGTAGGTGCCATGGCGGATATTTGATGCACCCCCAGGAGTGACAAGCCTACTGAGGGAAACCAGTCCAGGCCCAACAGGGCCGGCAGGGACTTCCCAACCACTAAGATGGGGAGTTTCCTGTGGAAGTCCCCATAGTCCACCCAAAACTCATAACTGCCCAGGGTTGGAATTTGAGTCCCCTGGTAGTCCTTTAGGGTGGTATCAGCTTGCATCAGCTGGTTCCGCGAGATAGATGGGCACATCTTAGAGAGGGTACTCCAGGAGAGGAGGGAGCGGGAGGACCGCAAGTCCACCTCCATGAGGTAAGGAGCCCCTTCGATCATCAAAGAGACCGTGATCTTTTTCGCGTCAGCTGAAGCCTTGCTGACCGATGCGGCAGGGCCCTCTGGCATCTTCTTGTTGATGGCATAACAGTTATTCCTCTGGGTCTGTTGCTGGCATTGTTGGCAGGCAGGCATTGATTGGTAGTCGGTTTGAGGCACCGGTGGCAAAACAGCAGGGCAGACATGAGCGAGGTGGCCCTTTTTATTGAAACGGCGGCAGGTAGCTGCTTTAAAGGGGCAAGTTGTGCAGGCATGATTGCCACCGCAGCCCATGCAACTGGCCGCTGGGGAACGGGCAATAGCAGGTGGTTGAAGTCTTCTCGGTTTTGCTCAGAGGCAGTTGACATGATCCTCATCAAGGTTGTCTAAGGGAGCCAACTCGTCACTGAGGCAGGCTCTTTGGGGGGGGTGTAATCAGCTGCTGGCACCATTGAATCTTGACCGTAGACCTATCTGACAGTTCGGCAGCTCTGGCTTCGTCCATCGCCTGCTGTAAGATAATATCGGCTCATGCTAGCAGTCGCCGCTTGAGCAATCACGAAGCCCACACACAAAATGCTCAACCAGGGAGTCATCCAAGTTGATAAACTTACACTGGATGGCCGCCATTTGGAGAGACTGTAAGAATTGGCTTACAGTCTCTGAGTCTTTTTGAACACACTGCCGGAAAGCATAGCAGCGGTCTATGTGAGAGGGCATTGGAGCATAGTGGTTTTTAAGCTTAGCAATCAAAGTGTCCCAAGTCAGTTCAGTTAAACATGTCAGGTCTACACGAACTGAGGAAAAAACTGCATTCTCAGTCATTTGGTAGCTGATGATTATTATTAGCAATTAGAAAATACTAGACTACTCGAGGAAACCAGCCCACGATTCATTTGGCAAGCCAAAAGGCGCAAATTGAGGGAGCGAAGCCATAGCGATAAGTAGCACTGAGGTAAAAAAAATCTTTTCCTTGAAGATAAGAGGAAATAATTGTTCCCTTCTCCTTTGGCTGTTCTAGGGAGGAACCTTCAGCATCCCACCTTCGTCGTCAGTATTGAAGACTGAGCTGATTGAAGAGACATGGAACGGCTGAGGTAATGAAGAACAGCTTTACTTAACAGATTCAGTTAACAGGTAACTATATACAGAGTTCAGCACCTCCCCTGCTTGACAGCTATTTATACAGGAGCTGTCAAGCAGGGCAACCAATAGGAATGGTGTAAACAGCTTGCGCTCAGCCAATCGCACCTTAGCCAATCAGGCATGGCTCAGCCAGAGCCAGCTGTCATTCGTAAGTCGAGGACATGCAGCCAGTCATAAATTGAGGACTTGCGGCCGGTCACAAGTCGAGGACTTACATTAGGATGTAACAAAGGCAACATCCCCAAAGGGCTCCAGGCCCATCTCAAGGCAAAGCCGGAATCTACTGAAACATGACAGCAGAGTTTCAGGCTTCCAAACCTGCCGCCTTTGAAATAGCAACCAGAGACCAGGCAGTGTGAGGTGGCACTACAGGATGGAAGTGGCAGGTGGAAGAGGAGGTGGCAGCCAACAGTCAGGTTATCTGAAGGGCTGCCCCGGGGGGACCAGCGGCTGATGCAGTTCATGTGCAGTGGCAGCAGAGGCCTTTCACCATCAATCCCTCGTGGCTCTGAAACAGTGGAGGGGGACCGGGTATGGAGACTGAGCCACCAACCCATCCTCCGTCACATGGCAGTCTCTGGTTTGGGAGGGGAGTGAAAGGGAAGAGGTGGGGGAAGTCACTGAATGGGTGGGGAAATATATATCTTTCATCTATCATCTATCATTTATATTTGAATCTAAGTCACCAAGCAGGCAGTGGCCTGGTTGCCGGGACCCTGAGGTGCAGGGGTGGGGGTGTATGTTTCCTCAGGGAAATCTTTATTTTCCTGCTATTTTCATAGGCAAGTCTCAGAGCAAAATATATATACAGCAATACTCTGACAACAGGCCCATCCATTCATCACTAACTTCAATATTCTTTATGCAAATCCCAACTCAAGATCAGTTTCACTATATGAAATGACAGATCACTTTTTCTTTCTTTCTTATGCTTTATGAATATCAAAAATTCAATGTTTAATCTAGTGTTTAAGACAACAATCTAGAAAGCAAGAGACTATGAGTTCAAGTCCCACCTGATGGCAAGGCTGAGCTCGAGAGGATATATATATACAAGACATATATATATATCTCACAGGATTGTTGTTGTGGGGGAAATAGGACAGAAATGTGTGTTTCAATGTGTTCACTGCCACATTATTTGTAATACTAATAAAGGCAGGATACAAACGAACAAACAAATAAATACTTGTTCTTACCTGACATTGTAGTGTAAAACAGGGTTTATTTGGACTCTGCCATAACTCTGAGCTGTTATATGAACTTCCTTCAAAACTGCAACCTAGGATAAAACAGAAATAAATAGAACAGTTTAGTAATCTACACACTTACAAAAATATTACATGAACTCAAAGTTGTTTAGTTTTAAAGCTCTGATTCCAATGGTCTTATAAAGTATCAATTATCAAAGGCATGATCTGAGCTCTTAAAATACAAATAGCTAATTCTCGTGGGTTAGAAAATATATTTGAAAATATGCCAACAGACAATCATTTATCATTAATGAAAGGCAGGGATCACTGGAAGAGAAATGATGCACTTAGGATAAGTTAACATAACAAGAATGATTGATAGCTGCAGAAAATTAGACAGACAGACTGACAATCAAGGGAACTTTAAAGAAGTCAAAATGACAAATGACAAAATGACATACATACATAGAACTTCTGCCTCTTTTTTAAAGCTACACATTAAAAAGAGGTGGACTTCAATGATCTCCATATTGCCCTCCCTACAGTCACCTATGGCAAAAGATTAAACTTTAATCCAGTCAAATGCTATCAGCCTTACTCTATATACCAGACAGGAAATACAATCAGATATACCAATTCTACTTTATTGCAGAATCTTGAAAGACTGAAAGCATAATTTTCCCGCTATCTGTCTCCCTTACAACCCAAGAAATGTTTCTTTTTGAATCTCTTCCCACACCCATTATGCAGCTACAGATTACTCTGCTTCTTACCTGGCCATGTCCTAGGCAGCATCTCATCACCTTGTTCCCTAAAGTTTTTCCTACCACCTACCATTACACTAACTAACATACAAAAGGGTAAGTAAATAACAATAATAGAATTTACATAAAATTTCCTGCAAAGCTTTCTTGATAATGACTGTTTTCTACATATTAGACAACAAGATTTCATCTCTCTTTTATAGAATCACTAGCAGCTATTAATCAATCAAAAATTGAAGTTATTGGATTAGCCATTAGACCAAGTCTGAGTCCAGGCAGAGGATATTGTTTTCTCTGGTCTTTATTTCATCTAATTCAGAGGTGGGATGCTGCCGGTTTGCCCTGGATTGGGCAAACCAGTAATGGTAGCAATGAGAGGCTCTGCCTACCCGCCTGTGCAGAAGTGTTGCACAATCACACGTGCGAGTGCACATGAGCGAACCGGTACTAAAATAAATTGTAATGCACCACTGATCTAATTGTTTTATGTTTTCAAGGGTGATAATATCTTTGTTTAAAGCATTATATGTCTGCCTCAGAATTATTTCAGCACACTTCTCTGACTTATTCTTGGTCTGAGTTGTTATTCTCATACCATTATTTGAATTTCCTATCTTCATTCTGATGCACTGATTCTTTCCTATATATTGGTATCAAAATGTCCTAAAATCAAACAAATAAGTCAATCCCAATAATAACCAGGGCAATCATAGTCACCACAATGAAGTTGGAAGCATTTGAAAACAATGCCGATATCATGGATTGATATAAAACAAACCATGTTATACTAAGCTTAATTTATGTTTCAATGAAATCTTTTTATTGAATAGCAATTACAATTTTATTGTAATAGCAATAGCACTTAGACTTAGCGTATTTGCTGCGTACTGAAGCTAGCCAGGTCCGTTCCTGCCATTAGGACGGAGCCGGCTCCTGATTGGCTGACCGTCTGACAGCAGGCTATAAAAGGGGAACTGTCAGGTGGAGGCAGTTAATTCCATTACTGTTAGTGTTGAGTCAGGGCATCATGTTAGTTATATTGTTGCAGTTGTGAATAAAGATTGTTGCAAAGATAACTGTCTATCTGTTTGAGACACCCACACATGTTCTGAGTATTGAACAATTGACAAGGAATGTGGGGTGTCTCTGAGGCAACAGTGTAGCAACAATTAGGAAGTGCTAAGTAGCATATTTGTGGAAACTGTAGCAGAGTACTGAAGTTCTTCAGCAGACGTGAAAACATATTATATCTTAAGAAATGGCAGGCCTCACCATGTTTTTCCCATTCAGCCCCACCACAGAGATGTGGGAGCATTATGTACAGAGTTTTGAATGTTTCCTCAGGGGAAATGCCCTTACTGATATGTCAAGTGACAGAAAATTCACCTACTTCCTGACAATATGCGGAATTGAGATTTTTGACACAAGCTGTGCCTTCACAGCACCTATGTCAATTCATGAGATACCTTGGGACATGCTCTTGACTAGATTAAAAAGTCATTATGCTCCTTCCCCCTCCAAAATCACCAGGCGCCACGCATTCTACCATAGGAACCAGGTGGAGGGGGAATCAATTAATCACTATGTGGCCACCTTAAGGTCATCCGCCTTGCACTGCAAATTTAAAGATCTTAACAATGCTCTTCTTGATAGTCTTGGGTGTGGCATGAGGGACCTTCATCTGCAACGCCGGCTGCTTGCGAAACCAGACATCACATTCCATTCAGTGCTGGATGAGGCTCGAGTGGCTGACATGTCAATCCTGTCATTACCTGTCATACAAAACCAAGTTCCTCTTGAGTCGTTGAAGCCTATGAGCTCTGCGAGTATGGCTGTTCATCAAAGTGAAGTAAGTCCTGGAGACGAGTCTGATAATAAAGTTAATCATCTTAATGAGGAGAAAAAGAAAAGTTGGCCCGATGGCTGGAAAACGTTGCTAGGGGTGTATTTGGGTTGTGGTGGAAGCCACCCCAATCAATACGCAATTTTAAAAGTGTCATTTGCAGATGCTGCGGTCGGAGGGGCCACTTAGTGAAAGTCTGCAGGGCTTCATAGCCAGCAGTTGGCCAAAACCAAAAGTAGCAGTTTAACAGTAGACAGCAACCAAAAACACCGCGATTGGAGGACAATAGCAATGATATTTATAGGAAGTTTGCCAGCTTGGGGATGTGATTCAAAGCATGAACCCTCCATAAAAAATAAGAGTAACAGTGCAGTTAGAAGGTGTGGAATGTGAAATGGAAGTGGACACAGGGTCCATCATTTCCATTATTTCCTGGAGCACCGCAAAGCGAATGATGCCAAGGCTAGTGAAGAAACATCTATGAAACTGTGGCTTATCCTTACGAGACTATCAAGGGAATCAGATTTCTATTGTGGGTCAAGGAAAATTTAGAGTCAAATATAGGGGTTTTAATGGCCAGTTGCCTTTTATTGTAGTAGAAGGTTGGCTGCCAAGCCTCCTAGGGCTCAATTGGTTCGAACCCCTGGGGCTTTTTATTTTATTTTAAAGTTTTTATTTTTAGACAAACATAGTCAAACATAAAACCATCTTCAATTACATACAGTGTGTTGATTGGTTACAAGGTTTTTGTGCATCCTTTCCATAGTGATCACTTACAATTTATATGAAATCGCATATTATCAAGTCAAATATTTTTATATACCTTATTATCATTGTACCACATTTATTTAACTATCACTATTGTTCCTTCATTTTAAATGAGATATTCAACCTTGAAATGTTGTTCACCGTCGGAAAAAAGCGAAGCGGGAGGTGGAGGAGCAGGTGAACGAAACGACGAAATGCGGACAGGCTTTATGAGGTTAACATGAAAAACCGGGTAAACCCGGTTGAGGTGCTTAGGCAGCTGCAGGCAAACAGAAACAGGATTGATGATCTTGACAATGGGAAATGGGCCAACATATTTAGGCCCCAACGTCTTCGACTTTTGTGTAGACTGAAGAAACTTGGTGGAAAAATAAACTTGATCACCAACTTTGTAATCATACGGCTTAGTCCACTTCTTATCAGCCTGTTTCTTATGGGCATGATGCGCAGCGTCCAAAGTGCGCAGCGTCCAACACCACACGGAAAGGGGTGAACCCAGTGCTGCTATGCACAGAATTATTATAAGCCACCTCCGCGTGCAGCAACAAATCCACCCAATCATCCTGCTGGTAGTTGATGAAACAACGTAAATATTGTTCCAGAACAGAATTAGTCCTCTCACAAGCCCCATTAGTCTGAGGGTGGTGGGCGGAGCTTAAGCCCTGGACGGAGCCAATCCGCTTCAGAAACTCCTTCCAGAATATGGAGGTGAACTGCACACCTCTATCCGAAATGATGCGGTCGGGCACCCCATGTAAGCGGTAAATGTGGGAGATGAACATCTTAGCAAGAGTCTTAGCAGAAGGAATCTTGGAGCAAGGGATAAAATGGATTTGCTTGGAGAACAAGTCAGTAACCACCCATATAACAGTGTGTCCCTGACTCTCAGGAAGTTTG